TAGTGGTCTTCAACCCCAGGAAAGGCAGCGTGACAGTCTTGGCAGTTTCAAGCTCAAATCCAATTTTATTTCAAATTATTCTAATGCTGTAAAAATTTTGATTCATCATAAATAATAAATTACAAAAAAGTTGCAAGAGGCTGGCTTTAAGATCCCCTCTGCTGTCAGTGCTGAAGGTCTTGTGCTGGACACTGCTGTTGAAAAGCTTGAGGTTCCCTGCAGCAACACCCTAGAGTGATGAGTTCTGCACTGACAGCCTGAGAAAGGGACGATTTGGCCAAATTACCTGGAAACATCATGCAAAGAGACATGTGCCCACCCATCTTAATCCCGACCACAACAGCCTTGACCATCTGCAGAAGATCAAAAGCAAAGCCCGCAGCCAGGTGTTACACGTTCCCACTGCAGCTGTTGTGATGAATGCAAAGGAAATGTGAAGTGCTTTCTTCCAGGAGGGTTTTGGGTCCTCTCTTTGGGTTCCAGGTGAACAGGCTCAAACTGGGGTGGCTGCTGCTGAGCAGCTCCCAGAGCCACGTGCTGCGAGCGTGCTCTGTTCTCCTACAGCTCCATCTCACACAGAGAATACCAGGCTCTTGTTTACTCAGCCCCAAATTAGCCTCCTGCAGGCAATTCATTGAGCTTCAGGCCATATGAAATGATTTATGAACTTGTGCTTAGCATTTCCATGGCACCAGCTCACGGTGAATAATTAGGAGTGATCTATCTAGCGGGAGTGTCCTTCATAACGTGTCAAAAGAATAAACCCTGTCCTGGAGAATGTGCCTTCTACTCACGTAGCTCACACTTTGTGCAAGTGCCTGTGCAAAGAGGAGGCTCTCCGACCTTCCAGAGCTCTCTGAGGCCGTGCAGAGAGGAGCAGGCACAGCTCTGGGTAACTCTGCAGCAGGACACGAGATCTCTCAGCACTGGGGGTTGCTGCTGCCGAGCCAGCCAACGAGCACCCAAATGCTCGGGCTCGGCCCTCTGGTCACCTAGGTGAGCAGGGCAGGAGCAATTCTTTTGGCATGTTGCTGCTGAGCCACAATAGCAAGCCCGAGTCCTGGGCACCGCACTGAGAAACCTCTCCTGTTCTTAACGAAATCCCTCTGGAAACTACGGAGCAGCAACGGGCTCCCATGGACACCCCCTGCCTCCTCTGCTGAAAGCTGTCAGTGCGGGACAGGTCACTCACCCCCAGGGGTGCTTGTCCAGCTCGTGGAGCACCGTGTGGTCGCAGTATTCGAAGACCAGATGCAGCTTCCTCTTCCTCCTGAAGACTTCCAGCAGGTTCACCAGGTTGGGGTGTTTCAGTTGCTGTAACACAGTGGAAGGACTCGTTAGCTACTGCACGGCAGGGGGGGTGTTTGGGGAAAAGCGAGGGATGCGGCGCTTTCACCCCCCCCAGGATCTCAATTCCTTGAGCTGAAACCTTTTGCAGAAGCACAGCACAACGCGGGGAAATGGCACACGGGAGGAGCCCCTAAGGCAAATGCACATTTAGGGACACCACGAGCTCCTCTGATAAGCATAAAGCAAGCATCTGGCTGCAGCTTCTCCACTTTATTGTCAGCATCTGGATGGATTAATCAGGATTTTTATCGCTGCTTTTGCCTCTCAGTTCACTTCCCGTGCTCATATCAGGGCTTCCCCTCCCTGGGAGCTCAGACAGATCCTTACCATACAAACACCTGAGCAGGGCAGGGTTTTAGATGCACCTTCCAAGAGGTGAGGCTGGAAATTTACGGCACCTCCTCATTTTCTATTCTTTTATTCGTATTTTGGGGCAGGACTAGGAGGGGGCTTCAACCACGGGGTGAAGACAAAGCATTCAGAGAAGAAAGCAGGGAGGCAGCTGAGGGATGTTGGTGTTTCTTTTCGGATGATGGATGGCCCCGTCCACACTGCTTGCAGGGACGTGCACCAAGGCTTTAGAACACAGAAGCCCCAAGGTGAAGGATCACGGAATGCATTTTATTTAAACACGTCATTGTAAAAGCTCCTTACAAAGAGACCTTCCAGGGAGCTCACTGCCTCCGGGGGCACTGTACTGAACCCAAACTACTCCGAGCCCTCAAGCCAGCCCGCAGGGCCCCATGGGTGTATGGAACGTGGCTGTTCAGTCCTGCAGCTGGCTGCAAGGAGCTGATCTTTCTAAAGAGCATCTCCTACCACCCACACATCCTGTTCCTTTAGTCCCTGCGAAGGGCCAGGGCTCCTGCCCACACCGTGTAAACCGTGTGCCAGCATGGATCAAACCCAGATAACAACCAAGATTTTCTTCCTTTTCACTTCCTTGGTCCTTTCTGGTAGGTGTCCCCTCTCAGGGACAGGCGAGGACAGGAGAGTTGCCAGCTGACTGAAACACAAGAAGAAAGGAAACCAACAGTAACAGGAGACATCTGGAAACCTCTGCCATTAACAGGTTGGTGGTATCGCCTTCAGGAGCGACTGTCGCAGGAGCTGGCTGTGTCGAGGCACCATCTCTGTGTCCTGGCCGTCCTCACGAGAGCGTGGAGCTGGATTTCTGGAGGGAGACAGCTTGGGCTCGAAGCACGAGGTCTGGCTGGGCTGGGGCTGCTCAGGGGGGACGCAGCTTTGGGAATGAGCTCTGGTGGGCACGGGACCTGCAGAGGGTGCCCCTGGCACCACCCCACGCCCTGCTCACAGCCAGCCTCAGGTCAGGGCTCTGCAGGCATTCAGGCCGGCAGCTCTCCACACAAAGGAACTGCAAACCTGCGGGCTTCTCCCCATGGTTACAGCTGCTCCTGTGTGGAGATAGCAGGCGTTTCAGCCGCTCCTACGGCACGGGGAGCAGGCAGGGACCCGTCTTTGGCTCTCTGCTTCCAGCCCCGCTCTCCCACCTCGCCTCCTGCGGCTCCCGGCCACAAAGCCCTTGAATCCACAAGGCGTTTGTTGTGCAGAATGGTGATTTATCAGCCCTACGGTGATTTATCAGCCCTACGGTGATTTATCAGCCCTATGGTGGTGATTTATCAGCCCTATGTTCTTCTCTGATGAAACACAATCTCATTGCATCTTTGACAAACACCGAGTTGTTGCCTGAGCAAGGAACCACCTCAACAAACAAGCAAACAAACTGTTGCTATTTACAGGCAAAAAGCTGAAAAGACTTTTCTCTCTGCAGGTCTGCACTTGTTAAAATCAACACCGCCCCGGCACAGGTCCTGCCACGGCCAGCCGCAGTTGTGCTGCTCTGTACCCTGCAGGGTGATGCATTGCCCATCTGCACGAGGGACTTTGCGATTATTTTCTTCTCCAGATCTCTTAGATCATTTCAATCTGAATGCATCTCCAGCATCGCTTACTAAAACAACCAAGCCACCTCTCATCCCTTTGCTTCAGAAAGGAGAAAACAGGCTGCTTCTTCACATAACCTAACTGAAAAATTAATATTTTTTTCCTAGATGATGACTCTTTGAGCCTCACATTCAGGCTTTCTTTACCTCTTTCTGTAGCAGGTAGGGAATCAGGCCTTCATATTCCTTTGGCAATAACATTTACATCATTCATTTATATATAAATGCTCAATAAAAGACAAGCTGAGAGCACAAAAGGGATTTGGAGAGGAGAAATACAAGAAATACAGCAACCAGCTGAAATCCTGCACTTACTGTAAGCCTGAAAGTCAAACCAGGGCAGCTCCATGGAAGGGAACAGGGACAGCAAGGAGCGATCGACCGCTGTGACACCAACGGGCAGCGAGGGCTGGGAACAGCCTCAGGCAGAAATCAGCGACCAAGGAACTATCAGTTTTGGGAAAGAAGTCTTAAAATACAACATCTTTCTCTGCAGCTTTCTGTGGGGTTCTGTTAACTTCAAAATCCTAAATCCCTGACAGTCTACAAGAACGTGTTGTAGGCTGAATTGCATGTTCCTTGTTGTAAAAAATCATCCTACTGAAAGCATCCTACGTTATTTTAAAATGTAAAATAACCCAACACATTGTTATTATTGTTCTTTCATCAGTTCAACGTCAAAAAACATTTACATTGCTCTTCTACAGGGAAGGGAGCTCACTGAAGATGGGGAGATGCCGGAGGTGTATAAAACCATGAGTACCCTGAAGAAAAAAGGGAACCCCCCACGTCTCCTCCACAACCGGGGCGCTGCGTGCTGCCACCCAGCACCAAGTCTGGAACAAATCAAGGGAAATGCTTTTCCACACAGCACATTGACGGCTGTGGCGCTGCCTCAGGATGCTATGGAGACCAGATGAATACATGAGCGTAGAAAGAGATTAAACTCGCAGCAGAAGATGCCCGTGAGCGCCTGCTAAGCCTCTGGCCTTAGTGACTTTGCCAGCAGCTGGGTCTGTTCAAGGAAATCTTACCCCATCCTCTCCTTTCTCCTGGCTTTCTCCTCATTTCTGCACTCTCCTGGCCCACTGCCAGCAGGGTGGGCTACACGAAGCCGGGCTCTGACCCACTGCAAACATTCCTGAGCTTTTATTTCCTCAGGGAAGGAAGCAGAGAGGCTGAACGCAAACCCAGGACGGGGTGAGAGGAGGCGAGGTGCTGCTACCTTCAGCATGCGGACCTCCCGCAGGGCGATCTTCCTGATCACCGGGTCCTCCTCGGACTCCAGGAACTTCTTGATGGCCACCACCTGCCCCGTGTCCTTGTTGCGGCACTTGAAGACGACGCCGTAGGAGCCCTCCCCGACCTTGCCCAGCTTCTCGTAGCGCTCCATGGCGCCGAGCCCGCCTCACGCCGCCGCCTCGCCTCAGCGCGGGGCTCCCGCCGTGAGGCGGCTCCCGCCGGGCGCTGAGGGGAGGAGAGGAGGAGGAGGAGGAGGAGGAAGATGAAGAGGAGGAGGGGAAAGAAGAAGTGGAGGAGCCGCCCCTAGGGACACGGGGCCAGCCGGGAGCCGCCGCCGCTTGCTCTGCCCCCTGCCGAGGCTCTCCCGCCCTGCTCTGCTGTGGGGGGGCTGCGCGGCGCTGGTGGCCTCTGATTTTTTAATATATTTTTAATATATATATTATTGGAGAGGATTTTGGGTGCCCAAACACAGCTGGATTTGGCGTGGAGCCCAGGTGTTGCATCGTCTCCCCCACACAGCTCGAGCACCTCAAGTGCTTGCCCCCTGCTGAGCTTCCACCAGGAGCTTGTCCCTTGCAGCGTCCCCATCTCTTACCTTTATATCGCCTTTTCTTGGGCACCCATTTAGGTCCGTGGCTGCTTACCCAGTTCCTGATGCCCTAACGAGGTGGCAATCTTCTTCCAGTTGATTGTAGAAATTCAGATCCGCGTAGATCCTCTGCTCCATGCAGCGTTCTGGGGTAAGGTTACCTCCTGTCCCACCACCAATCCTTTCTTTCCCAAGGTCTTTTCTGAATGCTACCCAGAACAAAAGGGGCACCATTTATGTTTCTCCTAAGCCACATTTATCAACAATAACTCTCCCCGTATTGCCACACACAGTCTCTTTCTGGTTCTTTGCGTACCCTTTCATTTTTATGACAAATGTGTCTCCTCTCAGCAGTACTGCCCAGTCACTGAGATGCTCCTGGCTCTATGAAGACTTGCAATCAAAGCACCAGACAAATGCTGTGAGCCAACTAAACTTCCAGCTGCTTTTCTGAGGAAATCATCTGATAGAGTTCTCCCCAAGAGAGACCTGCAGAGCTCCCTCAGAGAGAGGTCCACGGACTACACCACTGTGGAAGCTCCTCAGATGAGAGGTCAGACCCAAACGTCATTCCCAGACACCCCATACAGGCCACACCACACCTCGGTATCAAATAAAGCATAGTTTATTTGGCATAGACTGAAATGAACTGTAACAGAAATTGAAGTAGAACAAAGCCTAGTTGCACAAACTGGAACGAGTGCAGTTAGAGTCTCAGTTACAATCTAATGCATAAACAAGGTAAAAAGTACATTTCAGAGTCTCCCAGTCTTCACTTTTTTTACTCAGAGACATAGTGGCTCACTGATGCATTGTACCTCTCATCTTTTGAAGAGATGTCATCACAAGTACAGTTTTATTTCTCGGTTACAATGAATTTGATCAGGAAATCAAGAGACTAATTACGTGCTGCTTTTCAAATACTGTCTGTACTTCAAAGAGCACTAGGAGCCTGTTTTAAGGCTTTCAAGTTGAGTACATGAACCTTGTGCATCAAATAACTAATACTTTGATATCTATCAAAAGAGTCATGAGGGGGAGAGCAAGCTTTTGCTTAATAAACTCCAAAACCACACGCTAGGCTTTCTCAACCCTGGCTGAAATGTCACAAAAACATACAAGGATACAGACGATACCAGATTAACTTAAACAGCCTAACAATACAAATCACACTAGTCAGAGTCACCCAGACTGGCCAGTCCAGCTAGGAAACATGCTAATCAGTTGTGCCATACTCCCCTAAGAGTAACAAGTGAGGTTTTACACTAGGAAACAGTATCTTGCAGATTATATAAAAAAAATGCCACTGTCTATAAAACCAGACCAGATAAAGCATTTCAGAATAAACCATTAGAAATGCTTTAACAGCTAAAAAGGAAGTTTGATTACAGGAGGGCTTTCCTAGATTCCTTCTTTATAATTCAGCAAATCACCAGTCATTCATGTCATTCAAAGAAAAATACTTTCAGTTCATTGTTTTTGCATGACAGTGTCCTGACCTAGTAGTTATTTACTCCAGTTATCCCCCATAAATACTCATATTTTATTCACACATTTCTCTACTCTTCGAGAGATCTTTAAGTCTTTTCAAAGATGAAGCCAAAATTACTTTCTGCAGTGAAAAAAGTAAATTATGTGAAAACATTTGCTCTACAACATCTATACCTGGTGCTTCACTTTTTCATCAAGGTTGTTGTAGTCTATGAGTTACACAATTTTAGAGTTAGTCACCAATCGCTGTTACCTATAGACTAGGTCAGTAGTAGAGAACTTAATTTCCTTAAAACAAAATTTAAATGTCTCTTTTAACACTGCTGATCCAATTACAGCTGACCACTTAAAACATTTTCAGTACGTTGCTTGTGGGCTGATTTTCAAGTTCTATCTGTACGTTTAGTATTTATTAAACCTTGATAAGGTTTCAGAACTGAAAAGCTTGACTTGATTTAAATACCAAGTCAGTAACAAGAATTAGTTTTGAATGACAATGCTAAGTGGATAAAATGCTAAATTGTGTGCAGGTTTGTCTTTTTTTTTTTTCCTTTCCATAACATAAAACTCCAGCTGTACCTCGTAACAAAAAGACATTACTGATTCATCACATGTGATGAATTAATTCCATCTATGTTAAATTATGAATCAAGTAGTCTGATGCCTAAGCAGATAACCTGGCACTCTGTTCGCCAGGTTGCGAGTTAAGATCAAACCAGCCCCATTCTGCTCTGTCAGTAAAGCCTTGAGACAGGCCAAGCTGCTGTAACACACTTACCTTTAATGCTTTAATAAAATGACTTGTGAAGCTTTCTCAGGGTAGCAGATCACAGGAGTTGAATAAATGGCAGCAGACTGAAGGATTTAATTTAAAAAACCCTCCCTTCAAATTTTAATGAACTGCTACTGTATCTGCCTATGGACTGTGTTTACTTACATCAAAGCTAGCAGGTTAATATGAGGTAGTAGAACCAGATGCTATCCTGTAGTCAGCCTATATTTATATTTCATGGTACCTCAGGAATTTCAATTAATGAGGAAGACAAAAGGAACCAATGTGACTCTTTAATGGAGAAATAAAAAGAGAAAGAAAATTGCAGATGACAAAATAGGGAAAGGGAAAAGGTGATTGAAAGCTTTAATATAGAGTACGGGTTCTTATCATATTTATTTATACTACACAGCCGGGGAATTAACCATTTCCAAACAACTGTCTGACTGAAGACAGCTGAATGACTGCACGGACAAAAAAGCTCCTAAGTTCAGTCATCGCTAACAGGCTCCCCTTTGGAATAGTATAAATAAACTACACGTCATGGGCAGTTCGATACATGATACTTTCATTCATTAAGGATGATGACCAGGTACAATTTCCATTTCACGTCACGAGGCTTATCCCTAATTTATGAAAATAAAGCATATATATTTTGTACATTTATATATATATATAAATATATATATATATATAAAAAATACACACTGCCGGTCAACTTAATACACATGCGCACATGCACACACACACGTATGTATATTGTACACACCCACCCAGTAGCAACATGTCTGATATCAATATTATATTTTGTGTACACACACCCTACATCTAGTAAATAAGAAAATCCCTTTTATGGCAATTCTGCAGGCAAAAAAATCAATACAAAATACTTCGTTGTACAAAACTGCATTTTTACAAGATCAACCAACATTGTAACATACCCCTCAATAATGCACTACATCTCTACAAGAAAAAAGAATAATCAAATCTTTATACAATTGTAAAAAAACCTGTAAGCTGCTCTGCAACCTTCCTTTGCTAAAAGTTAGATACATTACACCATTCTAGCAGCAGATTAATAAATAAGGATTAAATAGTCTATTATACAAAGCCATACTGAATGGCAGATTTAAAAACAAAAAGCTTTGCTGATACTTTCACTTCCTACACAAAACTTTTTTATTAAGAATAAGACTCAGTATAAAACAAGGAAACAGCCAGCACTATATCTGTATCTACAGAAGATAAGGAAAATCCAAGGGAAGTCAAATATTTAACAGTTATGGCACCTTTACTGAATAACATTATTTTAAAGGCTCTGTTTCCCTACAACTAATGAGTAAAGGGCTATTTATCTCTCAGCTTTTATTAAGCAAACTTGATATAACCAACCACACAGTGGCAAGAGACAGAACCAGCTGTTCCCAGCTGCAAAAATGAACTGATTTCCACCCTAAAACAGCATCATTTAGGTGACAAGAAAAGAAACGGCATGTCACAGTCCTGCTTGTACTGAGTTTCCTAATGCTCCTTTTTTCCTCGTGTGGTGAATTCACTGGTATTTGCGTTAGGTTACTGTTGCTTAGTAACTATTTTCATGTCCAGCCAAGATGTAGAGATTGCTGTGTGCAGTCGGGTTTTCTGTTGGCCTGCTTTCCAGCACTACCACTCTGCAATCAAACACAAACAAAATCCAAAATTGTTAGTGGCAAGAATATGAAGCACATAGTTTAACTACTGAGGAAGAACAATCTTGTTGCTCACGGGTTTTTAAAGATTAGAGAGATACAGGTACTCCTAAATGTTTTGTGCATTTTATTCTTTAAACCAGTTACCTCCTGTAGCATCCCTTCTGTAGCAAACCTAAAGCAAAACACACAAGGAACAGAGAACTAGAAGCAGCTCCTTGAACCAAAATTTACCCCTGTCAGCTGTAGACGTGTAATATGTTATAAATCTCTTATAAAATGGTGTACTCCACTCTGAAATAAGCTACGTCCTCTGCTTCTATTGGGAAGTTATCTCAGAGCCACAGTGCTGTGAAGAGACACAACCCTCCTATCATCCACAGCCTGAATATGTTTGTATCTCCTATGGTGAGTATCAGCCACTAACCTAAACAGTTCTCCCTAAAAATGTTCGTCACCCAGTGGGTTCATAGGGAACACTCAACCCCTTACAGGATTTGGCAGCTCAATGAGAAGAATGAACGAAAATGGCTTCTCTGCAAACCTGCACATAGCAGGACTTCAACCTTTCCTCCAGCCTCTGAAACACCTTGGTATTTAGTACCCAGTTGTTACTGATGTGCAGGTCTTCCACAGAAGTTCAAACTGAACCAGACGAGACACTGCTTTCCATCTCTCTAAACGTTTAGTACACTTGTGTTCACCAGCCCAGAGAAATTAGGCAAATTTGAGCCATTTAAAGGTACCAAATCCAGCATGCAACAAAGACACACTGATGGAGGTGCAGCCCGTGCCTGGAACTTACAAAAATGGCATTTGTACAGCAGTGGATGTTAGCAAAAGCTTATTCTTGTAATAAAATGCTCCCTGCTCTGCTAGGGATCGCTGGGAAGGAAATCACCACTGCCTGTCTGCACAAGGGGGATACCAGACAGAAAAGACAGAGGATGCATTGTCAGAGGTCGCGTTGTATTTATATTTTTGGGATCTCAGAGTCAGCCCTGGTAAAGGCCCTCAACTCCAACCACAGTGATGAAGCACAATGAGCCCTCGGTGACTCACACACGCAGCCAAGACTTCAGGTGCCTCCTGCATAGGTTACTCCTTTTCTCTCACTCTCTCTCTGGACGGGGGATCCAAGAATGTAACCACACAAAATTATGCTTTACTTACAGAAAGTGAGTCAGAGCCAGGTTCCCCGCAGGCCAAATGAGGGAGCAGAAGCTCAGGTACCAGAACTCCTTTCTTGCCTCATGACTCACGTCTGCGTACACACTCAGCGCTCTGACTGCCTGAGAAGCCACAAGTACGCTGTGTCCAAACCCACGGCACTGGGGCAGCTTCTGCCAAGGATTCAAACCCGGGCTGAGCAGTGTGTGCTACCCCCTGCCTACAGGGGTTAGGAGTAACAGGGTGAATTTAGACCACCTTGCATTAAAACCTCTAAGTGCTGTAGTTTGCTCCACAACTTCCAGGCCTCAAGGTCCAGAGCAAAAAGGCTTTTTTAGAAGTAATTTGATGCCAAGATAATGTCAGTTCACCATAAAAATCCAAGCCAGAAGCAGGCCTTTCCAGGTCTTGGGCACCAGGTTCACCACATGGCAGAGAAGGCTGTTCTCTTTCTCTGTAGCTTATCTCCTCACCCTGTACACTCGCATTTGTGTTCACATTTCTATCTCTGCAGTGAAAAGTTAGTGGGAGAGTTACAGGAGTTCTTCGAAATAATTTTGGATGCAAATCACTAATGAATTTTTTGGCTATCGCAGGCAGAAACAGTGTTACTGCCTCCCCCAGGACTGCCTACGGATGGATCTGCTGTGGGATGGAACCCAATTCCAGCTGGGAGTTAGAGAGCTGATGGAAAGAAAATAGGTTTACATTTCTTCAAGGTGATTACCTGTCTGATCCCAGTAAGCGGAAAACCCTGGTTTCATCTGATATCTCTTGGGTAACCTGTAGAAAAATGGAGATATGAGTCCATTTCAGTGGCAAAATGAAATGTATTGGTCTGAGCCAGAAGACAAAAAACAGATCAGTCTCTTTAACAACTCAAATATAGTGCAAATTACACAATTGAATCATAAAAACTGATACTAAGTAGTGTTCTACATTTCCTCAAGTAAAACTTACTTTAAATAATTTTTGTATTGGAGAGCATTATCAGTCTAGAGGACTTGTTGGTGGCATGGATGGACTATGTTGATCAAATCTTGGTCCACAGAAGGCGAGACTAGTTTTCCCCTGCATTTTTACACAGGATGCTATTGAAAAGGGCGATGTCCTTTTTGAAAAAAAATTATACTTCTTTGTTTTCCAAAGGGATGCTGTTTGTTTTTCCTTTTTTTAAGGGAATACTCCCAACTAGGGTTTTTTCATGAGATCCAGGAAACCCAAGTGCTGCTTACACCAGATCTGTGCTGCCTCTGTGCAGAACCAGTCTAGGAGTCTCTGAATGACACTCTTGGAAACAGAGCTGCTTAAAGCATGTCTGTGAGCTCTACTGAGAGCAACACACACGGGGAAATCAAAGAACCAGCAAGCTGCTACAATGACAATGTGAAGCACACACATTATCACTGGGGAAGCAGTTAGAGGGGCCAAAGGATCAAGCAGTAAATGAGGAATAGGACAAAGTTAAACCAGGAGAGGCTGGGAGATTACTCACTTCATCTGACTTGAAGCTTTTACCCTGCATGCCGTGTTTCCAGAAGGCTAGCACACTGTCTTGAAGGCACACTGCAAGAGGAGAAACAAAAATCAGACCCAAGCGTGGCTTATCCGAACCAAGGAAACGTGGGCTTCTCACCAACAATGATAATGGGAAGCATGTAGATAATAAAGTCCACTTCAACTCCTGACAGAACAAAACTCTAAAATCACTGTAGAAAAACTCGACTGAAATTGCTATTTAGATCTGATGCACACATTACTTTTTGCAGACAGCACTCAGACATTCCTTGTTTCTCAAGACAAGATAGGTATCTCTGTTTTTAACTTTTCTCCCTCTCACATCTATTCTCTGGACCTTTGGTTTCCTAATGGTTTGATTCTGGAAAAAAACACCAGGAAGTGCATAAGCATGCTGCCAACCACAACATTCTGGGTTGCTGGAAATTACAAACCATTTTAGTGATTACATTTACTTCAAAATAGACATGAGCACGAAAAATGGGAGGAGTCTGCCATTCAGGGTCAAGAAGAGGAAAACTACCAGCTCTGAATGATTCAGTTACTAGATTCTTTAAAATACTGGATGAAGAACCTGGTGTTCTTTAAGCAGTGTTACAGAAACATAGTTTATACATTTTGTTTTCTTAAACCCTACATGTTTTCCTTTACTATTCCTGTGTCACGTTTTGCATTTGCTCAGTATTAGCTCTGTACTACATACACAGAACAAAGGCACTCAACACAATCCTAAGAGCAATGCTTTTCACAACAGCCAACTAATCTCCACCTGTTATTCCTCACTCCACCCTGCGATCAGAAAATGAGGAGTTGTTTAATACCCTGAATTCCCAAGAGACCGCTTGGGGTGTAAGGAACTGCTCACATTATTCAATGTCAGTTGGTAAGCACAAGACTTCTAGATAAATGCCTGTCTATGAATTCCTTCAGAGTTCAAGGAAAAGGCAACGGTCAAGTCATGTTATGCATGTGTCAGCAGGAGATACTGTATGATACAAGCAGTGCAGTTAATTAGAAGGTGTCAGAATTTAGGGAAGAATCAGAGGCTTGATTAAAAGTATCATAATTCTTCCTTCAGGATGGTTCTGACATATCTAATAAAGATGCTGTACACAGATTATACACTGCTTACCACCTGCTGTCAAATACAAAATGCTTATGTCAAGAATCTTTGAAAAGGAAGATGTGTGAGGAACCCAGAAATGCAAGCTGTACAGAACTGGTAACAAAAACAAGTTCACTTTCTGTGTCTTCACTGATTTTGATTCCAGGTAAGAGTCCAGTTTCTGAAATACTGAATTCTTAAACTTACTATTCAACCTTTTAAAATCAAATCATGGTAGATCTTGCTTACAGAAACAGAAATGACACCAGATGGAAACACACACACAATGGATACACCCTACCTGGCAACTGGCTTATTTTCTTACACATGCCAGTGTAGACAAAGAAACTGCTCACAATATCCTGACGCAAGCAATTTTTAGAGTCAGGCCCCACAGGGTGCACTAGACCAATCTAGATTATTAAAATCCCTTCAACATTCCCCCCATACTCAGCTTTTGAGAGCTGACAGAGAACCAAATTACTTACCCACTGATTCAATGCAGAAATCAAAGCTCAGCTCAGAGGCCAATTTCTTGCTTGACTTCAATTTTCCTTGTAAATTCACGATTTTCACAAATTCTCAAGAAAAGCAGAAAAAGAAATATTAAAACCCACAGCCAAAAAGGATTACTGATGGCTTTAAGTATGAAATACTAATTTCAACTTTCAGATACAAAAAAATGCCCACATCTGACAGCTACGGTGTTTGCCCAAATCTAATCCAAGAGCACCTTCTCTCAAAATAAACACAGAGAACGTTTTTATAGACTTTGTATGATTTTAGACTTTACTGATGGCCTTCCTGAAAACAAACTTAGTGCAGAAATGTGAATGCAACATAAAGGTTGGAAACGTAGGCTGATTAAGTCATTGCAAAGTTCCCAGGGAGGTATTACCCTCTGACGCACGAGCCATTGTTACTGGTATTGTGTAAGATGCAAGAGTTAGCCTTTTATCTGGCTAGCCATACACAACAGGCAAATGGCACATTTTCCAAGGAAATTCTGGAAATTTCTGATTGGCATGGATTTGAATTCTCAGCAGTAATGCTGCATTACATTTCCTTTTGGAAATAAACAAGAGTGAAGAGAGAAAGTGGAACTGCAGGAGTCACAACTGAACAGTTACTTCGAATCGTATCTGTTAGGAAATGCTACACCACAAATTAGTAATGAAAAAATTAACTTATGGTAGAGTTAAAATCAACAACTGTGCAAAGCATGTTTTGCAAAAGAGGTAGTAAGTTGCCCAAGAGTCGCTTGTTACTTACTGTCCAGGCAGACTAGGACAGTGTCCCTTTCCAGCTGTGTTACGTGAATGGCATCTAACTGTTGATTGCCTAGTGAAAAAGAAAAGGAATTAGTTTATATCACATCATAACACTGATTTCTGCCATCCCCCCATCCTCTTGCCAATTGGTACAGCATTTTCAGAATGCTACAAGCATTTTGCAAGCTACAATATTTTTATTATTTTATATTTTCAAGGCTACGTGATTCCAGAATGTTATAGGAGCAGAACAGGGCCTAAGGACAAACCCATTAGTTCAAAGCATGTATTTAATATGAAAGCATTACTGTTTATTGGCATAAAATGCATTTTATGTTACAGTTCAGCACAGAAAGTCAGCTTCCTTCATGAAGGGGCATGCTAATGAACAAAAGGAATCATCAAGGGAATCTTTGCCCCTAAAAAAATGTTCTTTTCCTTTAAATTCACATCTGGAAAGATTACTGTGCTGATATTAAACTAGAATTTAATAGTTTGCATACTTTTTATTAATGAATTTCTCAATACAGCTGTATTTAAAGGTTAAAAATTGCATCCAACAAAGCCAGCAAAGAAAAGCATCTGCAAAATATCAACCAGCTTTTGAAGATAAAACAAAACATTCTACTTATTAATAGCCAGCTGAAGATGACAAGCCTCCCCCAAGGACTGGAGGACAGACAAGAATGCATTTATGTGAGTCTTTACACAGGAAAGAAGGGGAAAGAGCATTAAGGCTGACCCCAGTAAAAAGTATGCAACCACAAATGAGAACTCGATCAGCAGGGTCTGCGTTACTATTTAAGGAAGTTTAATAAAAGATCTGTCTAAAAATGAAGTCTTTTAAGATAGTTTACAGTAAGGTTGGCAAATCATCACAAGAAGAACTTGGGATTGGCTTCTATGTACTTTACATAGAGAAGCTGCATCATTTTGCCTAGCACAAAGGGTTTCCAAATGACTTCTGAGGCAGGGATGTTCAACAGTTACCAGACAATAAAAGAGTTGCAAGAGAGACCAAGGGTCTTACCTGCACCAATTTCTGTAAACCATGAAGAAGCAGAGTTCAAGTTGATTGTCTCAAACTGAACTACCTGATTTGGTTCAGCACCCTTACTGATAGCTACGCAGACCATCGGGTACTCCTGCTCTGGTATCACTAGCATTTCAAAGACATTCAAAGGGCTTGGCAAAGGAAAATCAAAGTGCTGAGGGAGAAGAAAAAAAAAAGGAAAAAACCACACATTTTTAAAGTTTCCTTTTACCTAGGAAGAAAGAAGCCTAAAATGACATGCACAAAATGTAAAAGATACAGAACAGTGCTTCCCTGCTACTAAGAGTGCTTTTTTTAAGAAATCATGAGCTTTGAGCAACATTAGGTTGCAGAGAGGCACGCTAGTCCATTATTGCTAGTACTGGGCTTGATCCAACGCTTGACTGAGTCAGTCACCGGATTTTCTTAGTCAACATGTGTCAAGCCAGAAATTCAAGTGCTCAAAACCCACAAATGGGACTATACTAGGATGTACTTTCCATTACAAATTCTAGAAAGGTTACTTCAACAACCATACAACAATTGAGATCTTGGAGCAGGTAAGAAAGAGATGCAAAATTAGATGTTCTGAACTAAAATGAGATATTTACCTTTATTAACATGAATTTCTGCATTGGCTCATACCACTGTAGCAGAACAATTCCAGACTGCAAGGCACCGCAGAGGTACTTGTGTCCTGTGTATGGATTTCTTACTATATAAAATAAACAAACAGGAAAAAATTAAAAATGTTAAGTCCAGGAAGCTTAATAAATACTTGAAAGTAAAAATTGCAGATATCTTGGCAAACAATTTAAGAAACAGTTTCACTTTGACACTGATAATAGTTTTCTGGATTTCCATTCAAATATCCCCAGTGATTAATATTGTGCTACATTCCAGATAAATTAAATTATCCTTGTAATTAATAACCACTAGCATTTTTTGCATTCCAGTGAAGAGGCCACACGCTGATCGGCCAGAAAAAAGTTGTAACACCTTCTTCTTGGGGCTGAGAGATGAGGGGGAGTGAAAGGTCTGGGTCATGTTGTGAATTAAAAAAGATTCCCAAGCAGTCCAGACGCCCCACAACTTCCTGTGAGCTTTGACAGCTAATGAAATACATTTTTTTCTCAGTTAGATCCAAGACCAGCCTGATTTCAGGAATACTTTGTAAACATGACTACTGTAGACACTTTAGATGAGCTAAACAGGATGTCCAAATTTGCTACAAGGTACTTTGTATTTTGCTTAAGCAAAAGTGTAAAATACCATTTCACACAGGGCAGATTTCAAAAGGAAGTGTGTTCTGTAGAAAACCCAAACCTTCCTGAAAGTCAGCGAAGCCAAAGACAAGTTTGTAACTTCACAAGCTTTAACTTTTTTGTGGGCACTTAGAACATTGAGAGATGGCTTCAGTCCTCCCCATACTGACATCATTTTTATTCATGCCCAGCCTTTTCTTTGTGGAAAATATTATTTTCACATTAGCCTCGCTAAAAATTGGATGCCAGGTCAAAGCTTGAGGCAAACTGACAAACCAGAAGGGTGTTTGTGTATGGCACCGAGTCTGGGATTCAGTTACAAGCGTGACACTCGCAGGCAGCCTGCATGTCACAGCAACCAGCTGGCTCATGTGGCAGCCTGAAACCAGTGATCCCAAACATCTACTTATTCACCGAGAGCTTCAGATTCACCCTTGGCAGCTCTCAAAAACAGCATGCAACACATTAGCCACATGCTACCGGCATTCTCCAGGGTTTCCCAATGGATCTTGTTCTAGATAGCAACGTTTCTAGGTTAAGAGTTGATACCAAAAATGCTTGTGTTATCATTGCCATTGACTGGCATAAAGATCCCCTGCAATAATATAAGGAAATAGCATAATCATATTGTTTTCTGAACAGTGAACTAACGATAAGTTTATTAAAAAGCAATGAGCTGAAGACATGCCATGTCCAAACAACAAAGACCAGGAGAATAACTGTGAAACTCAACGCCTACTCACCTATACAGCATTTGTGGCATCCTTTTGTATCAGGAATCTTTGTCGTTAAGGCAAACTTCCTGGAATAACAGGTATAAAAATGCATCAGCAAGAGATGCCAAGGGACTTTCATGCTACCAGTTCAACAGCATTCAAGAAAACTGTCACTTGCTAATAATTGTAAGTGAAAGATTTGTACCTTGGTAATATTTTGTCAGGAAACCTATGGGTTTGAATATGAGCAGCTAATCCTGTTTTCTTGGCTTGTTCAAACAAAGCTATTAAATTATGGGAGTAGAGCTGGAATGTTTTCCCTATAAGAGAGAACAGCACAAATTGATATGGCACACACACCTCCGTCAGAGGAACGTGCATTTTAGAGAAATATATGTATAGAAAATTACCTTCTAGAAAAATGGACCACATGCGTCAGATATTTCAAGTCCAATTATGAAGAAAAATAAAACAAGACAACAATAATAATGCATATAGAGAAAACATGGCATTCAACTCAAAGTTCATTTCAGTAACACTAAAAAGGCTCTGAAAGTTAGTTTTATGTACACATTTTCAGAAGGCTGTAATTACACAACAACAATTCATTTTATCAGGACATCTTTATAAATCAGTAAAAGTGGTGCTACACAAAACCCTGTACGTTCAAAGGCACAACCCTACAATTAGTCTGCATGCCACACTACCTCTGTTTCCTGCCAAAAAATTCCACAACTGCTGATTTTTTTTTATTATTACTATTTTTTTTTTAAGAATCCATCTGATGGATTGGTAGTATTTCACAGCCACCTCACTGTTCTTTAACTTAAAACTTTTTTTTTAGGGTGTATTTATATTCTAAATCTGGTTCATACCGAACATGCTGTCAAACAGCCCCATTTTGGTAATGCAGCAGTATTGCCAAACCCTATCTATGAAAGTTTTTCAAATTAAAACACTCATGAAGCAAAACTTTCTATACAAACACACGAAATAATTACAGTTTTCTATTTCACTGCAATGAACAGACATTGTACTGAACGTTAATTTTAATCGTTTATATTTTTTCTGCTTATACATACCTGACAAGGACATTAAGGTGTTATTGATAACATACAGCCAGGTGCATTTTCGGGGAAATAACTGAAGAAAGAAATTATCTCCATTACTAGAAGCACACAGGAATTTCTAACCATGGCTTTCCCTGCCTGCTCCACATCTGTCACCATTCCTGCAGTGATGGACGCTGGAGAATGCCCCAGCTTCAACTACATTTTCCCCTTTAACTCACTCCTTTGGACCCCTTGCTTAGTTTGTTTATTTATTTTTTATTTTTTGGCTCAACCAGTTTTCATTCCTTTCCTCTTCTACCCCTGAAACTTTAAAACTTCAAATTTTCTTTATTTTTTAAAATTTTCTTTATTTTTTAATTAGCAGCACAGAGCTGAAGTGGGACAACTGGCAAGACTGGAATACCAAATATAGACAGACACAGCCTGCTCAGGAACGACAGCTAGAGAGACAGCAATGTTATTACAGAAGCCTACGAAGCCCCAAACAAGTCAGAAGAGGGAAAACTAAAAAAAGGCAGTCATATTTTCTAAGTAACTTGAATTAGCACAAAATCCTGTATTTTGTGGGACTTATCTGCTGGCTATTTATGTTAGCATACTGCTTTGTAAACAGGCAGCTCAGGGAAGGCATCGGGACTTATTTTTGTTTCAGAGTAAAGAAATTACTCATAGGCAGCTAATCTAGGTCTGAGAACATTTAAAGCTAGGAGCCTCCTGACAACCTGAAGGAGGAAGGGACTTTTGTTATGTGATAGGAAAATTACAGCATTCAGGAGCCTCAACAATGGAAGGAATAAGGATACATTTATTTATTTATTTATTTTAAAGAGACTGAATTTATTGATGAGGATTCATAGGTAAGGACCTCCCATGAGAAGAAATTCCATGAACAGAAGGAAGAGTTAGTAAGATTGAGCTGCTTTGAAAGGATACTTTAAAAAAAAAGACAACAGCAGAATCATCCACTGAGAGAAACCACTGCACAACAGAGCAGGAGACACTTGAATCAAGGATCTGCAAAGAGGGGCTCTACTGGTTCAAGCAAATGTCTGCCTAAACTAACACCTATTTCCAACAGACACTATAAAGTGACAAAATCTTTCCTAAAAATGCTCAGCCCATGAAAACAACGTACATAACACTGCACCAAGTGCTCTGCCAGGTGCCAAGTTTCTTCAGCTTGGAAACCTGCCGAGTCAGACAGGGGTTTTTATGCTCTTAGTGATCTTCAGTGGATTCATCTGCCATAAATTTGCCCCTCTGAACTCACGTAACTCCTACCATTTGTAACTCCCCACAGCAAAACATCCCAGGCCAGATACCCACTGTTTATTTTTAAATTGGCTCCTGTTAGCTTCATGTGATGCTGCCACTGGAAGAGAAGGGGCACAGCTGCTCTCTGTGAACCCTCTCCAAGCTACCACAAGATGGGTATTTGTTATTTCCACCCCAAACCTGAAGTATCACACACACATATACAGAAAATGGAAACAAGGGTGTGAGGATGAAAAATCACAGGATAAGCCTGAAGAAAGAAACTTAAGAAAAGTTAAGATGCAAATCCGATTACCAATGCAAAGTACACAAAGGCAACTTCAGCTCCTGGTGACTGGGAAAACAAATGGCGAGGACCCCAGCTTGACAGGAAAGAAAATTAATCTGAACTGCATGATTAGCACAGTCACCAGCACTGGGGTAGAAACTTGTGCTAGAATCAGATAAAACCCACATTAATAATTATTCTGATTACATGCACTCATGTCAGCAGGCCCCCCAAGTTTACTTAACAGTACTTAAGAACTGGCTCAAACCCCAAGGCCTCAGTAACAATTATTTTCAAAAACTGTTGGAGGACAACCAAGGACCTCAGGAAGGACAAGCACAGCACCTAGGCTGAACTCTGAGAGCTGCATAAAAGTCTGATGGACTGCCTGGTCATCCGGGGTAGCACAAGGACACACCACACACTTTTTAATTATCAAGAGGATAACAAGAGAAGCTAGTGCAGACTTATACAGAAGGGGCTGCATTTGAACATCAGAATTTTCTTTTTCGACAGGATAATTGCCCTGCTGGGTGCAGTGAAACAGTCAGATATGAAATATATGTGAAGGACTGCATCCTGCATGCTGCTTCCAAGGGCAAAATAAGAAAATATGAAGAAAATGCAAAAAGAAAATACGAAAACAAGAGTATCTATCAGATGTTTGCTATTCAGTAGGGGAAAAGCAGCAGCTTACAGATATAGTGTCTTTTCTAGGTATGGTTCTATTCAGTATTTTTGCTGAAAAATTAGTAATGGAATAAGAATATGCTTCTGAAATCAGCAGATACTATCCTTGGAGAGACAACAAGCACTTTGAAGGATGTCACCAGAATTAAAAATTGGAGAAACAGTTAAAAAATCTCAAGCACCAACATTTAGTGGGGAGGAATCATGAAGTGAATAAATGCAAATAGGGAAACAACTGGCATAGCTGAAGCACTGCTGTAAAGCCTCTGGGGTTTGTAGTGAATCACACTTAACCTCCGCCAACTGAGGATGCTCTCACAGAAAAGGAAACTCATTTTGGGATGCATTAAATGTCATAATTAGACAGTGCTACGTTCACTCTGCCAACCACTACCATGTCTAACCTCTTGATAGGATATAAAAAAGCATCTGGAACAGTTCAGAGAAGACTGTCACATAAAATAAATCAGGAAAATATATGAAGAAGCAGATTAGTTTTACTAACTGAGGGAAGAGATAATTGAGGTAGGGCCAGGTGGCCTCCAGCAGTAGTCAGCACATTTTTTGGAAATCTGTTAGAAATAGTAGTTGTTCCCCATGTGGAAGGTGGCCCTGCCCACTGGCAGCTGGGGCTGGAATTCGATTATCTTTAGGGTCCCTTGCTACCCAAACCGTTCTGTGATTCTGTGATGCCATGTCTGCTGATGCTACAAAAAGATTAAAAAAAAAACAAACTTCATATTCAGTGTTCTTCTACTGCATTCAGGTACATGGTCATCTCTCTCAACGTGAAAGGGTTTTCTCACTATATTACACTGAAATTCAGACTTCTCACCATCAAGCCATTTATCACCTTCTTTTGTTTTGTCTGTGCCAAACTACCCCCTCCCTGACCTTGCTGAATTGCTTCCCTTTTTCTTTTTCCCTTGAATTTCTGTCTTCTAACAAGATGCTCCCAGAAACAAAGGATTTTTTTCCTCTGAAGCACAGACACCTATACAATGCCCTTTCTGTGAAATCATCTTTCTCTCACTATTAGTCATCAATGTCCACCTCGTCACCTCTGGCTTTTGAGCAGTGCCAGGTCGTGGCTGAATGTAACACTTCAGAGGCCTGAAGTGCCTTTGTGAACTGCTTTTGAAAAGCTGCAGGTGTACATCTCATTAGCAGCCTCTGTCAATGCCTCCCTTGCAAAAACACCCTGCTACTTCTGATTCTAAAAAGGCAAATGTAGCAACACCATGATTTTATGAAGTGGAAGCTCTTTGGAAAGGGTTAGAGAGCCCAAGAAAACTGAAGCAAATGCATACTTATTGGTGATATCACCACCAACTAAACTAAATGGCTGAGGGCTTTGGTAGCGTGCAGTGGAGAAGCAATATGCCACCTAGTGGAGATAAAATGGAGAAAGGAAAGGTAGGCAATCAGTTGTCTCCAGGAGAAGAAAGCTAGTTTAGTACAGAGGTCCTTTGAAAGCAGTGTTATATAAAGAGCAACAACAAAATCAGGTAAGGGAACTATTAATTTTAAGACTTCCAGTGTTTACTTCGATGTGAATCAGTTTATGCCACAAAGTCTGGCATCCTGTCTATCCCCCCTTTAATATAAAACTTTCTTGCTTCCTACTATTACTAAATCTGTGTGTTCAATACACCAAAGATCACCTGTTCCATTGTTGCTTCGTGAAGTTCATTCAAATTCAAAGTATAGATACCTTCTTCTGTTCCAAAGATAATGTACTGATCTAAAAAATTAAGAGAAATTGTTTATTTCACAAGCTCATTAGCACTTCAGTAACAGGCAGCCTTAACATACAAACACAACAAGTAACTTTACCTTTAGTATCTGGATGTATCCATGATGTTGCACAGTTAATCTTCAAGGGACAACCATCAAAGACTTTGGAAAAACATGCTCCCATCTGAAAGACACAAAAACTGAAACCTGAAACAAGTTTCTAGTATAAGGTCTTAACTTCTGGCACTTGGCTACTTAGCACACAACTGTACACACAGCATGGCTCTCTTCTCTTCAGACACAAACTTACTCTAACCTGCTTTGATGGAAAATATTTTTTATCTTTCCCCCCCAAGTTACAATGCAGCCTTCCAAACCTTTTCATAGACTTCATATATGTTAAGAAATGCAAGGAGTGATCAAAATGATATGGACAATTCTTACCTACTAGGTAAGAAGATCGAGTGCTTATGCAACTGTGTAAGAAAGCAAAACAAGCAGAAACATTCAAGCAAGTAGCACCCTCTACAATCGCTACCTCCTTTTCCCCTTTCTCTGTATAAAACAGCGAATGCCACTGGAGATCACAGCCCACAGAGCCAGTGAGGTCTCCATCTCTTCCCTTCACCACTCAGTCAGGATGTGAAGTTTTTAAGAAAAGGAAAAAGTACAAATAACCGAGTGAAAAGTAATTGGCTACGACATGCACATCAGCCCAGATGAGGTGGTGGCTTCTTCTAGCATAAACCTTCTGTCACTAGAGAGATGACATGAGGGCAGACTTGCAATAATTCCCACTGCAAATGAGGCTTCTTACCAGCACCTTCGGCGTGGGTGGTAAACCATTGATCGCTGGCTTCTGTGGGAAGAGAGAAAGATCATAAAATAGCTCCCACGCACTGAAATAAAACTAGCTGGCTTGAAATGATGTGTGAAATAGGGCAACTGATCAGACTGAGAGTCACAATACTTACAGGAAAATCTCTTTTCTCTTTTTTACGTGGCAGCTGAGGGATTTGTCCAGATCCTTCTGCATTTTCTTCAATGAGTTTCAACATGCCATCCCCATTTCCTAGAAGGAAGCCCAGGCACATTTTGGGACTCACTTGGCATAACAAAATAGAAAATATTTTGCTGCCCTATTCTCTCTTCTCCCTGTGCCTAGTGGGAGTAGAGCATAGTGAACTCCGAAACTTGCGTATACACTTCTCAGGTAGCTGAAGCCTTTCAAGAGCAGCTGGCTACCCTTCTGCATGCAAAGCTACACAATAAAAAAAAGGCTTCCCATTATCCAAACAGTCCCCAGGCTAAACAGGATTGAGAATGAAGCTGCGGCAATGTCCTCACAGATGGTTCTTCCTGCACGTTCATTGTTTTTATGTTATTCCTGCAGGCGATAGTATTGACTGGCTGAGCATCCCTGCTTTGGGAAGGACATTTTCACCATGGGTCATGGCTCTAACACGAACCAGCACACATGTAAAGTTTCACTTCATGGTCAGCCTGTATTAAAGTAACGATCATCTGAACACAGAGCTGACTCCCAAACTGATTTCCTTTTACAGGAAACAAGGCACCTTTAGGAAATGCAATGCATTTACCCAAGTCGCTGTATCTAGCTGTGAGCAATCCTGGGCTACTGATGCTGCTGGTCATACCAATGGAGGACGAATCAGTCTGAGGCCCACAAACAGGAATACTCTGTCTCCTATGAGCTGGTGGGGCTCTGTTCTGTGAGTCGGGGAAATGTTTTATCGTCTGAGATTTCTCATCATCCGGGAGGTTTTCCTCAGGGTAACTGTTTATTCTTGGCTGCAACAAACAAAAGAGGTGATGATTACCTGGGAAATGGCATCTGGAAGCATATGCTTAAAGCAAATTTTAGTTCAACTCACACTGCTTCTATATTAAAAAAAAATATAAAAATCAGCCTTTGAACAAAGCCATTTGTCAGAAGAATAATCTAAGAGGTATTCCTTCTCTGATGGAAAAATCCCAGCAGCGGGCACAGTGCTGACTGAGAGGACATTCCGCACAGCATGCTCTCTTTACAGAGAAAATACCTAAAACTCACTTTGTCTAGAACAGTGCACAAGGCCAGGAGTTCCCAAAGGTCAAGACTGTACAGACTGCAAGTCAGCATAAAATACACGAAGTCAGCGAGCAAATGGTATTGAGAATTTATAACCTACTGAGAGCATCCAACGTAAGCACGGCAGAGGCTGCACGAGTGGGGTTTTGCTGCCTAAAACCACAGCCACTTACCTTAGGAGGTAGAGGAGGTGGCCCTGCTCGCTTTAGTGTTGATCTGAAATAAAAAGGTGCAGTAGATGTCTTAGTTAAATCAGCAATATAAATAGACTTGCTCGAGAACAAAGGCTATAAATGATACAAGCCAGATGCATAGAAAAGACTGATCACAGCTTTGCACGAACAGGGTTAAACTAGAAGTCCAAGGGTGGGAAAAAAAAAAAGCATGTTAATCTTGTTAGAAGTGTAGTTTTTGATAAACTCGTGTTCTTTCATAAATGTAGACATTAAAGAGTGTTCTGTGATGAAGGGTATTGAACTTTGCAAACCACATATGTTAAAGGACTAGTTCTCTGAAGGCATCCCCCTTCCACTGCTTGGATTTTATTTTTGCACTTGTTTTTTCTCAAAAATTCTTCCTGCCAGTGAAAATGCTGCATTTCTGGATCAGCCAGTGAATCACAGAGCAATGTTCTTCCCCAGCTTTTCCAAAGTGACAAAAGAAGTTCACTGGACACCTACTAACAGCAGCCCCAGCTGCACCTGAACTTTGGGCCAACCAACACAAGGGTTCACAGCCTTTCAGTGCAGCTTGCTGCTTTCCAGTGCACTTCTGGATCACTCAGATGTCTGGGTAACAGGAGCTGCACAAACCCTCCCGGAGCTCTGCAGGAATATTTGCATGCCCACTGCCACTGTGAGGCCTGGCAGATTCATCAGCACAAAGTCTACTTTCAAGTATGAGGCACTTCCATACATCCTAAAATAACCTCAGGAAGGAGAGCAAAGGAAGAAAGCATTGCTTTGCGTACATTCTCCAGACGATCAGATAAACAGTCAAGCGTGCGTTAGCTCTTTGAGCGCGACCAGCCCTCGCTTCTACGAGTGGCAAAGCTGCCTGCAGCATTTTAGGGGATGAGATTTTGCCAGGAGACTGCCTGCTTAGCGAGAGCCACACGGGGTAAATGCAACTGTACACGAAGGAGGTTCACTCACTCTTCCACATCTTCACTCCCATCGCCAAATTTTGTAAGCAGTCCCCTAGGTGAAATGTTTAGAACATTAGGAGCTCTGCTTTAAGGCTGGCACGTGCAACCAAACTGATTGGTGAAAACATCATTTAGTTTTGTAACGAGCATCTCCCAGCCCTTTACAAAACACAGTGCTTCTCTCTTGCTGCATTAAGCCCTTTTCAATTCAGCACAGTCGCTTCCTTTCCCTCCCTCCCTCACCCCCCACCCCCAAAGAATCATTTCAGCTCTCTTCCACACTAGATACCATCAGCTAATCTTTCCTCTTCCTACGTGGTATTTTAAATATTGCTGAAATGCCTAATAATAGAACCAACAAAAAAAAAAAAAAAAGGAAACCTGAGGAAGTTACAAAAGGAGAAAAGCCTTTACAAAGAAGAAATAGTGGAAAATTGCTTCCTTGAGTGTTGTATGCTCAAGGCACAGACATAACAGCAGGAACTTTTCCTCCAAAGCCAACAAAAGGTTGCAGGCTGGCTGTCTCGGTGCTCCAGAAGCCTGGTGCAATCCAAGACTCTGCAGACAAGTCAGCCTCCAGTGCAGACACCCCCAAATCCCACACCACCACACACATCCTTTCGTGTCCCACAGCGCACGTCACCCAGTGAGGAATGGCTACAGGGGTAGCTAATGGGAAAATCAAAACATATTACCCAAAAACTAACCCAAGCAAACATGGATTGCTCTACAATTCCCCTACCATTTATTTGTTTTGAAGGAAAAGCAGCTGTGACCAGGAGCTACTAAATAAAAGCCTACCCATCAGCAAAAAACCACCTCTATAATACAGAAAATCTATACAGAAAGTCATTTTAAAATGCTACAATAAGGATGGAAAGAGCCAACCAGTCCGTTCCATCTTCAGGCACAATTTCTGGTATGCCTCTTTCCACTGAAACAATTCCCAAGTCAAACATAACAATCGCCATTACTCTGATAAAAGCCAAAGGACATGAAAAGCAAGTCTGGCTGTCCGTCTCCCCGCAGCACGCATCCTCTCTTTACATCCCTGGTGTTATTCTGACTTGCTGGGGACAGAGGAGCTATGCATTTCCTGTTTATCTTTTTAAACTGGAAGTGGATTCCAAGTGAGCGGCACAGGCTGACCATCCAGAAGTTTTATGACTCTTCTCCTTTCAATCAGAGAGCTTGTGTACTCAATCTGTATCTATTTACAAATTCATAGCCCTAGCAACGTTTGCTACAGCTACATTCCTTCTGCAATATAGGTTGGAATGGACAATCTTAATAATGGGACAGGAACAGAATTAAAGCAGTAAGTCGCTTTGCAGGGAGGATATGAAGATGAGAAATCAGAGCTTGCCTCCCTCCCTGCTCTTCGACCCTGCAGATTCCAGCTGTCTGCACAAAACTCACCACTCATGAGAAAGGCTTGCAATCTTTTAGTTCATCAGGGTCACACAAGCAAAAAATCATGAATAAAGGAAGGAAAGAAGCCACTGTCATTACTGGACAGAGAAAGGCAAGGTCTAGAAAGCCACCCTGAACTTTTACTACGATGACAGTGAGAAAAGAAAAATGGGTTGAACTTAAAAAGACCCAAACACTAGCAATCTACATGACAAGGTCAGCCTTCCAGGGGGCTGGAGTGTCAGCTGACAGCTTATGCAAGACTTTATCTGCAAAAAAGCCAAAGAAATTTACTGCGTGCTGCTCGGTTCCAAATAAAGATGGGAAAGAGGCTCTTTTAGCTTAGCAATTATTTGAACTGAAATACCATCTTTCCCTACATATGTGCATCGCTGTTACTAAACATTCATATCACTCAACACAAATTCAAAGGTTGCCTTTAAAGGCAGAATCTGGTAGTTTGCAGCAAAAGGAAGCCACATACATGGTAAATTCAGTCCTAACTTGGACACGGTTGTGCTCCCTTACATCAGGCCTGCTTTAACCCAGAGGAAATCAGTTTGAGGGCATCTTTGCCTGAAACACTGCATCCCTTAACACTACATAGCTGTTATTACAGATTGTGCTAAGCAGACACCCACAGCAGCAGTCGCACCACTAGATCTTCAGAAGCGGTTTCTCCTTCGCTTACTGGCAAAGGCCTGACCTCCAGCACTGCGAAAATACTTGCCACAGGATGTCACAACTACAGAGGTGGCTCACAAGAGACGTGCAAGGGTAGTGCAGGATCTTGAACTCAGCCCTTGCAAGGTTTCTGATTTTGCTTCAGAAAACTGGCTTTGGCAATGTTATTTCAGCACGGCAGACATAAGTGTATGCTTTGCTTTCCATCTGCAACTGGGAGCTACAATAAATTTAAAATAAACTACTGTTCATCATTAAAAGAGATTAAAATCCAGTCTCCAAGACAATGACCAACCAACAGTAGAAGGATGACTGAAAACTGGGTAAAAACTCCTTTGATTTCATAAATATTAAATATAAATTTGGGCTTAAGGTTGGATTTTCCACCTCAATTTATTTCTTTCAGACTATATTTTCACATTAAGTCACAGAAATACAAGATGTTTTAAAACTCTGTACTTACCTGCTGCTTCCACCTTCAACAAAAGGATTCCAATGTGAAGCAAAGTCATTGCCAGCTGCCACCACCTGAGGACGTAGAGATTTTCATTTTTTTTTTCCTATCAAACTGAATTCACAGCACGTGAAGAAGCCTGGGAGATTCCCAGAATGACCCATTAGCAATAAATAAAATTCCTAAGTGAGGTAATGTTTTAAAATATAGTTACAAAACAATTATCGAAAAGATATTTTCTTCTTAGATTCAGAGTGAAAAGCAGCATCTGGAAATGGTATAATGCCAGTATCAAGTAACATTAAATAACATGAAAGCAAAAACTTATGGTGAAAACTCAGTAAGGATTTTCCACTCGGGGCACTTCCAAGACACTCTTCCAGCAAGAGAACATAGTGCAGCCACCTCCAAACTCGTATGAAATACTGTCAGGAAAGGCTGGGGGCATTCCTGCCACTGTACCAAGGGGACCTCATCAGTAACAACATGTACAAGTCTCTGAAATCACATGCAAATAAGATGAACTTGTAACCACCTGGTGAACTCGAGTACAGCTTTAAAAAAAATAGGACTGGGATTTTTCTGGAACGCTGAGCACAGATTTCTCCAAATCAAAATTAATGGCAGCTGTTGGTATTCACAACACTTACTAAAAAATGGAGCCCTTTCAAACAGTCACACACTGACCCAAAAGAACGTTAATTAGCTGATCTGAAGTAAACTGCTGAGAACTGGAATAAACAGCAGCAGCTCACAGGGGGCAAAAAGTCTGCATGCAAGTTGGCTGGGTTCCAAGAAACAAGCAGCAAATAAGCTGATGATGGTAAGATCAGGGACTCAAATGCAGAACAGCCTCTCCACATTATCAAATTAATTGGCACTTGCTGTTTTTCTCATCTGAGCGTGACTCCCTGCACAAAGCATAGAGGGCAATTCATTTTCTTAAAAATGTTTCAATTGTCCAGGGACCAAGAGTAGCCTTCTCATGACTCTGTACTTCAGACTTAAATTAGTTAGAGTTGAACCACAAAACAATGAAGGTGCTATGATTTTAGTAAAGGAAGGAAAAAACAAACTTGTCCTTACCATTTCATCCCGAGCTTCAGTTTCTTTCCGTAGAGGGGGCTCAAACTGGAGCTTATCAACTACAAAACATTACATGGTCAACTTTAATACACGCAACATTCTGCTAATGTCCTTTCGATGCTTACTACAGTGAAGCACATGTTGTAGCACAACAAAATAACGTACACAACGCTTAATTTGCCTATAAAATGACTACCACTATAAATATCATTATTGTCTAAACGCTTCAATTCACAAATTTGAAACCCACAAGAAACAGATGAAAAGTAAACAGCAAGTCATAATATGAAAACACACTAAAATGTAATTGTGTAACCACATGTTATTTTTAAATTCACATGAAAGAAAAAAGGGGCTTTTAAAAGTAAGCTTCCTAAAAGCGAGATGTACGTGACTCAGAGGAGCAGCTAGTCTTTATATTACAACAGGCATTTGTCCAAACCTGAAGAAAGGCAGTTTCTGCCCTCAAAATTTCAACTTAGATCCAACTGGGTAGAGCATTAGCATTGTTTTAAAAGTAAAGAAAAGGTTTTATGAAAAGAAAATGCCCTAAGTTGACAGACACCCTTGTGAGGACAGCTATTAAAATTACAAGTGCTCCAATAAGGTCAAGAAAAGGTTTAGCTTGTGAACTTGAAACAGTGTAAAGACAAACACAAAATGCTACCTTTTTTACAGTTTTCTTATCAGAGAAGGACAGCCAATGTATTCACTCCTATCAAGTCACTCTTAATTTTTTATGTACTTCCAATTAGTGTTTTTGATGTTTTAAGTAAGGCTTAAAGTCTGACAGATCACAGAACTGAAAGACTACACTGGTCATAGAAGGTTTCTGCCTGAAATTTACTATGCAGCAATGAGATGAAATGGAACAGCGGAATAACAGGCAAGTTTTAGTTTTGCTTTTGGAAAAATGGCACTGGCATAGGCTGCCCCATCCCTGGCAGTGCCCAAGGCCAGGCTGGATGGGGCTGGGGGCAACCTGGACTGGCAGGAGGGGTCCCAACCCACGGCAGGGGCTGGAATTAGATGAGCTGTAAGGTCCCTGCCAACCCAAACCATTCTATGATTCCACGAAAATATCATTGAAGATTCATGTCTGTGCATTGTTTCTTCAGGTTTCGCTTCTCAAATGTGCCAACAGCAGGAGAGAATTTCTAGAGTACATAACTGAAGAATGACTACAACATCCTCTCTTAGTAGAAACAAATCAACACCATCATACAGGCAAATTATATTTGGAACTTACAGTTTATCTCTGATGCCGTTCTTTCTGCCCTAACATTCCTGTTCGTAGAACGAATTGTATGGCGAATAACAGAGTGAGGCTGCAAGAGTTGTAAAAAAAAATAAATAAAAAATTAGGAAGTGCCTTTCTGTTGGATCTCAATCAACAATCAAACCAGCAGAGACAAAGAATAGCTGTTGCAGAGCCACATCATCTTTGTCCGAACCAAGACCCTGCACAGCCTGCACACGGGAACTTCATGTACACTCCACAGCAAAAGTGTGACAAGCTCTGACAAGATTTCCTGGTTCCTCCAGCACAGGAACTTACAGAAACTCTAAAAATGTTGGGGCAGTGCCCCTGTCAAGCTGGAGTCTTACACGATGAAAGCAAAGCAAGATATTTAAACGCTGGGTTTACCTAAAGGTAGAAAATAGCAGATGTTCTCACCTCAAAATCATCATCATCAACTTCATTGTAGTGTGTGTGGTTGTCAGGATTATTAACTTTGTCCAACAGCTCAACTGCTAAAGATCTTGAAAGACCAGGCTGCCCTACAAAGCTATGCTAAAATCATAAAAAAAAAAGAACAAGTTATAATATGCAGCTGATATGCAACTTCCAATAATAAACACCCAATATAGAACATCACTGAACTTTGCCTCGTTTGGGGGCTCGAGTATTTCTTTAATTACTCCATAGTGACGAGAGTTTCTATCTCCTCTGTAAGCATGGAAATCGCACACTTGACAGTCGGAAATTAAATTCTGAGTCAAATAATTACACATTAACTTCATTTTTCACAAAAGTAGTTTGGTCAAATTTAGTAAGAAAGATACACGAAAAAATGCTAGCTATATAGATCAGTTTTCTGTTTGTGTGACAGCAAAGGTCAACATCTGTGCAGCTATACCTCAGAGGCTGAGACATCCACTTGTGGAAAGGGCAGGCTGAAGAACATGAGGCAATTTTCTGTAATTTTCCCTACCAAAAATCATATAAAAAACTTGACCCAGAATAAAGTCTTGCCACTTTTCTAGTTAATCATTGTCTCATTCATTCAGATTTCACCACCCATATTGTGGGAGAGAAAGAAAATTGTTCCAGTTTGATTTTCCATTGATTTGTTGCTCACTTTGAAGCAAGAGATCATTTACTAATGTCACAAAACGTTCCAAGTCACTTACAGAAAGGAGTCTGTCTGCTGTTGGTCTCTTCTTTGGATTTTTTGTAAGTGCAATTTTGACAAAATTATGGAATGTTGATGACCTTAAAGGAAAATTAAGTTTTATATTTAATTTTTCAGTAAGATCATTTTGATTTTAACACAGAAACTAGACAGATTACAAAAGGATGCACTAAGTTAGAATGCTGTCTAAATACCTCAATGCATCTCAGGTTTGAATTATTATGTTACCAAGTTAACAAGATAGGAAAAACACATTTGACTAATGGAACTTGCATGAGAAACGTTTTGGTAGGATACAGAAAATAAACTAAGCACATATGTTGCTATTTAAACTTTTTCCAGTTTCAACTGTTACGAAATTAGGTAGCAAAAGTAAAAACTGTGAATTAGGTACCTAACAAACCCTCAAAATCCAAGCAAGCCTACAAATTTCACTGTTCTTAGCTACTCGTAGGAAAATAAATACGGAGTTCTAGACAAAGACTCAACTTACTCTTTAAAATATTTTGTTACTATTTCCAGAACAATTTAGGTGGTTATGTCATATAATCTTTTAAATTTTGAAGTACAATTTGATGTTATGACTGGACCTACAATTTTTCAAGCATTTTTTCTCAGTTGCACTTGTGTTAGTGTAACTTCTGTGGCCAACATTAGTCCAAGAACACTTGATTTCAAATCATGTTAAAAAACACATTTCCTCTTCTATTTTTAACATCTACAAAAAGGACATCGGAGAAGTAATGTACGTTGACTGGCTGCAGTTACAGCGAGCAGTTTCAATTCAGGAGACAAACATTTAGAAGTGTTTTCTCCCTTCCTCTAGCACACACCTGTCTATCCAAATATCTCAACGTAAAAAGATTTTACAGCAAAATTGAAATCAAAAAATCCATAATTATTTTGATAACAAACCATGAAAATTAATATGAAAATAAAATGTTATTAAGTATGACACAAAATCCTGCAGGCGCTAGGAAGGTAACACAAGTTGAAGGAATTGTTGCTGAATGTAAATTGGCAGAGGCACATACTTCATGAAAGGATTAAACAATTACCTGTCCCATTAATAGTGGCAAATACCTTATAAATAGGAATTAAAGGGGAAGGGATAAAAATAGCTTTTCTTCCTAGGACAAACAAGAGGACCAAGGAGGGAGATTTTACATCCATCTGGACCACTGGTAGGGGGCAATTCACACAGTTAAGACTGTCCTGTGCCATACTGCTGGTTTTCTGCCATGTCAGCAAATACCTGCTGCTGGACCTCAGTTCTCTCTCATTTGTTTTCATACTGCAGCAAACAACTGGCTGTTTCTCAGTGAAAAAACTTCTGGGTGAAATCACCTCTCTGAATTACTGAGTTTAAAAGTAGCCCACACTATTTTTCACAGCGTTCCATCTTCAATAATGACAAATCATTTTCTCATATTATCTGCAAAATATTGAACAAAGGAAAGGGTTTAACCTACCATTTTGCTTTTTCCTTTAGCTTTGGTGGTTGAAAGTTACTTTTTGACATTAAAAACAAAGCCCTAAAGGTAAAGGAAGAATAATGTAAAATAATGTCATCATATGGTTAAAAATAATAATTATATATATAAATTATATATATATTCATTCCAATATCTAAACACTTTAAATTTATAATTCATGATAAGAATCATTCTGGTGAAACTGGCTTATAGTCTATACAGTGTTAGAGGACAGATGCGATAAAGTTGTTCATTTTCTTATCCTTAAATGAAATCTTTTTAATGCCGTGCATAATCTTGTTAAACCTAAGGCTATGGGTTTCTTTAGCGATTTACTCTACCTGTTCTTAATCACATTGTTACTGACACTATGAATTTCTTTTGTTAAATTAAAAGATTTAAGTTTATTAATTCAATTCTAAATTCAAGTCTTTAGCTTCAGACTGGTATCTTAAAAACAGACATAGCTCATGCAGAAAGCAATTGATGAAGGAATACTAGTGTGGGTTTTTAACTCTGAGCTATGAAGAGGGTTGAAGCGTATCGTAACAGCCCCTGCTAGAACTGAAGAGGATCTGGAAGGAAAGCAAGCTCCGCTGCCAGCAGACCTCATGGGGTGCAGATCAAACATGGGTGGCTGGAGTTCCGCGAGCTCAATGGCTGTTATGCCGACCGCCCAGATGTCGCAGAGCTGGTTGTATCCACCATTCTTTTCCACTGCCGCAACTTCTGGGGCCATCCTTTAAAAGCAAAGGCATCAGTCAGTCAGCGCATACAGAAAACAAGAGCCAAATCTGAATCACTGCCTGCATGCAGGAGTCACGCAGTACTTTATGTAATGCTAGTGCAGAAAACCCCACAAAGAGCGCAAGTAAGGCAGAAGCCTGCTGTCGCCTCCCCAGCATCAGAGGAGAAAAGAAACACAGAGGTTTGCGTGTTCTGCCTAAGGTTGTGAACTTGCCAGCAAAGCTAGGAATAGAACCAGAGTCTCATGATTCCTGGAGAAATGCTTTAATGACCAGATAATCTTCCTGCCCTGAGTCCTCATGCTGCACCAGGATAAGGAGGGCAGCAAACAATTAGAAGCCATTGTCTGAATTAAGCTGGACGAACACGTTCAGTCCTATCCTAAGAATATCGCCCTGGAGAAAGGCATCCTAACTGCATCACAGTAATGCCAGAATTCAAAAGCAGCTGCATTTGCATATTCATCCCGCTCAAGATTTACACTGATAAGTTAGCATATTAAAAGCTGTCTTGCACAGAAATTAGGTACTAGAGATGATTAAAAGATCAAAATCTTTTTCTTTGCAATTTCTTCTGCACAGCAGAAATCTGAAAGACATCATTTAGTTTATTCACTAGAAGAACAAGAAGCTGGTGAGAAACTAAATGACCATTGCATATCTGGAAAAAAGGGGAGAATGTTTTGCATTAATAAGGTCGAGAGAAATCTGAGGCCTCAAACACCAGGTAGGTTATGTTACAGCAACAGACCAGCTACAACCAGTGGTTCCCAGACTTCTACTCTTTGGCATTTTACTTGGAAGAAAGGGAATGTATGCATTTGCTATATATATTTTAAAATACATGCATATACTTCTATATTTATACACACATACTTGAGTATGTGTGTTTTAGAATTCCTGGCATGATTTCTAAATACAGACTTAGCTTTGCATGCAATCACAGAAATGGAAGTAGTTTATTACCAGTAAGGGGTACCAATAAATGATTTCCTCTTTGCAATGGTGGCTGTTATTTTTGCTGCTACGCCGAAGTCAGCTGGAAAATGAAATGATCATATTTAGAAATTTAGATTTTAACACTCCAATTCTACTCGAGGAAGTATCATATTATGAAAAGACACTAATGCAAATCAATGCAAATTAAAAATTCATTAAGCTTCAACAGTTAAAGATTAATAATGAGATCAGCTAATTTCTACACTGACATGATCTCAAATTAAGAAGATTAGTTTCTATGTACAGCTCACTCATGATCCTCTTCCTCTCCTAGCTATTTTTCCATCTCACAAAACAGCAACCAAGCAACCTCACAAAATTTAGTGGGTATTCAGTTTAATATTCTAGAGGAAAAATAGCATCATGCTTTGGAAACAGCACTATTTCTGTGTTACTTACAAAGGAACTGTGGGGGGCCATCTGTTCTTACTTCTGGAGATTCTGTCTAGGGGACAATTATCCCTTACTCTGAGAGCTGCAGCTAATCAGGTGGTCTTGCAGAGCCAAATATCATTTAAGTCCTGTTTTGTTTTTATTGTATTTGTAGTATGACAGCAGGAGGTTAATTGTGGACAAATCTAACTAGCTTAGCCGGCAAAAGGAAGGTATCAGTGTGTGGCCCAAGTTTAACGGAGTTAGTGGAAGCTCCTATCAGTTTCAAGGTTTTATTTTATTTTATTTTTCCTTATTCTTTAAAAAAACCTTTACTTTCCTAGCATAGCACTCCTGTGCCACCACAGGGGAGTTAGCATGTGGAACCGCACAGCTTTTCTGAGGAGTAGCAATGCAGCTAATCGCAGCTACCCCAGTTTCAACACCAGACACATGATGATGAATATCTCATGCTGTCTCCCAGGATGTCTGCGTGTGCACGTAGGCTGCTCTGAAGAGAGGCAGCAGACAGGCGGACGGGGTTTTAGAAGGCAGTGTGCTCAGATGAAAGATTCAGCCTGCCTCAGCTCCCCTAAACACGAAACATCACTGGAGGAAGCCAGCAATGCAGATCCCTTCTGAGTGTTCATCTGTGGGCCACACAGTGCTTGCAAAGGAGGAGAGTTTCCTCATCTCCACCTGCGTGGACATGCCCAACATCACACGCTGGAGGCACAGCCAGCGATGGACCCTGTGTTGCCACAGGCTGCCTGGCTCAGAAGAAGCTATCTCACTACAGAACTGTCATTGTGGCTAGGAACAAACACATTGATATCCAGGTAGCCCCAGCCTGACAAATTCCAGGGATACCTAGGAGGCTTCAAGGTCTGTTGGTTGAAAAAAAACAATTACCTGCAACTTCTTGACAGAGTGCAAAAGTTCTCATCTCATACATACATACACCCATAGATACACACTTTCTGTTGTCAACTACTGCCCTAATAGTGCAAGAAAGAACATTCCACAGTGCAATACCAAAGGTTCGTGGCACAGAGAACTAATACAATTGGCTGTGTTAATACAGGAGATTTGCTGTATTATGCTTTATCATTTATTGCAAGCTCAATCTTGGCTGAACACGTGCTGCTCAACACAAAGACAAGGCCTTATAAAAGCTGAATATTCTCATCAGGAGGTAGGGTCTCTACATTACAGTTATTTTTTTGTGTTTCTGCCTGGTCGGAGTGATAAAAGACAACTTGCTAAATCAATGGTCAATAATAAAAAAACCCTCCTATTTGCTTTCTGTCTTACTAATAAATTCAAGCAACTTACCTAATTTGACATCTCCATGGTCTGTTAGTAGAATATTTGCACCCTGAAACATAACAAGTATAAAATTAAAATACTTTATCAGAAATATTTTTCTGCACTAGAAAGTTTAAGGTAAGTTTCTTAAAGTTCCAAGTTACCTTTATATCTCTATGCATTTTTCCCTTCATATGCAAATAAGCAAGACCCTGGAAATAAAAGAGACAACACTTCATCATTTCTGACATAACACTTCATCATTTCTGTCATTTGTTAACATACTGCAAAGCCAGTCTTATTTAACAAATTGGAATTACTCAATGTACTTTATTTGAAAGTTCAAAAATTTGAGATTTGCAGCTAAGAGGTATGCTGGATTCTGTTCCTCATCTCTCCCAGCCCTACCCAACGCATGTGAAGACCTGTTTAAACCACTCATGGTCTAGCATCTTACATATGGATATGTGTATTTTCAAAACAAGCCTCAAGATAAATCACCATTTTCCTTTACTAAAATTAGCTATATTTTTGAAGTCCTGAAGGTTTCAACAAACAGGTGTTCAGTTTTTGAGCTGCCCTTCCAGCAATACCAGTTCCTGCAGCAACAGGAGATCAGGAACAGAGCTCCCTAGCAGATTTGTCCATGGGTCTACACCCCTGCCTCTGGCAGTGACGAGTTCAGCCACCGCTTCAGGGAAAGGTGTGCATCTTTGTGATTCTCTTATGCAATTATTATTCATAGATGCAGCAGGGAATGCAAAGTTCCTTTAAGAAACATGCTGCCTGCATCACCTTATCTTATATTTCTACAATTACTAGCAATCAGAAGATGAAACAGTTTTAGTTATTTGGTTCTAATATTTTTTCTCTACAAATGATTATAATTTAATGCCACAGATCAAGCACGCAGTTTAAAATGTGCCTTTTTTTTTTTTTAAATACCCAGGTATTTACTCTTGCTTGCTAGATACTAGCTGCTTTCTGCAACAAGATTCAGAACTTTGTCCTAAACCTAAACACTTTCTGCACTGAATCACTGTATCAGAACAATGCATGAAAATAGCCTAGACAGCACTGTGGTCACAACCTGCAAAGACCTGTCTTCCATAGTTTCACTGAAACCAACAAGATCACCAAAGAGGTGATCCAAACAGGACTGAGTTTTAGTATTTTGGCCCTGTAATGAGTTCCACAGAGACATCTATTCCTGCATAAGCTCCTTTGCAAATTACACTGCAAATGAATCATAGAATGGTTTGGGTTGGAAGGGACCTTAAAGGTCATCTAGTTCTAATCCCTACCTCCCATTAAATCAGGTTGCTCAAACACCCAACTAACCTGGCCTTGAGAAGCACTGCTCTGACAATGATTCTAAGCAAATATTTGCACTACATTACTCTATTTTTTGCTAGTTTTTATGTATACAATATAGAAACTAACAGATTAACACTGGTCAATTGGTCTCAAGTGACTTCTCAATGCTTGCAAATGGAAGTGATGGTACCGCATCATTTTCTGGAGCGACTCACCTTCCATATTTACTTTCCGTACACAGACTATCACACAAGACTTTATCACACACCTGCAGAAGTACAGTACCTGTAAAGTTTCTCTGCACACGTATGCAATTTGTAACTCTGACAGAGGTCCTGTTACTGAAAACAAAGATTAAAAAGTGCGTTAAGTCTACAGCCTGTAACATATAAATATTGTGAAGCAGCCAAAAAAAATTTATTGCCATGAAAGTTAAAGACCTTTTTTTTACAAGGACTGTATTTTACATTCAGCTGAAAAGAGGGTTTTGTTTGTTTGTTTTACAGAAAGCCTTTCTGTAAAAAAACAAAAACAGCACAGCAACAGAAGACAATACCCACAGCGAGAAAACTTGTTTGTACAGAAATCTAATTATCATTTTAAAAGTGACTTCGCAGTAATAAAATATCCTGTACTCTGGGAAACGTAGAAAGCAATAAAAATGACTTCTGCTAATTTTCTAATATTAGCAACAGCAGTGTTTTATGCTAGGGGGCCATGGGACTTAGAATTGTTTTAAAGGTGTCTGAAAAATAAGTTAGAAAGCTTTCATACTCAAAAACCCCACATTTTCATTTAAAGGCAAAGCAAGTTTCTGGACTGCTTTTTTAACAACTCCAGTAAATCCTTCTACAGGGTCAACAACTCTAGGTTAGACCTGACAGGTGAAAATAATAATAGAAGAGTGGTACAGTATTGTACAAGGGGAGAGATAAAAAGTCTTTTTTTATTATTATCCTTTAAAGAACAAATTTAGAGATTTCTCAGTAAAACCTGCTTCTTCATAGCATGCAGAGTCTCCACATCTAAACAGAATGTCTTCTAGCTGTGAACTATTTAGAGGTCTTTTTTTCCAGTACCTTCAGAGAAAGGAGATAAACTACTACTGCATACTGACATTCAAGACACTGGGCTGACAGAAGGCAACTAAAGACGTAGACGAGCTCACAATGTACAACAACTGTAGTTACCAAAGAGCTCTCCACTGGGATAAATCAAGCTCTTGTTACCTAAGTATCACAGAGAGAAACGAACAGCGTGATGATTAAAAGATAAAGCATGTTCTGGCCTAGAATGGCAGGATATTAGCACAAAGTGACTGTTTCCATGTTGAGAATTGCTCTCGACAAAATCTGTTGACTGTAGCTAAAAAACACTGTTCATTTCTTAAGAAAAAACACATGTAGTGCTGGCTAGTACCAACCATTCCATGTTAGCTTCCTTTCAAATTCTCCTCTTTGCATAAACCTTTCAAAGGGTACAAATGTAAGTAAGTAATTTTCAAAGTACCATGGTAAATATCTTGGAGGGATCCCCCACCGCAGTACTCCATGCATATCCACAGCTTTTCACGGCTACCAAAAAAAAAAAGTTAAAACACAGACATCAGAAGCTGATTGATCTGTATGCAGAACACAATGAATAATGATTATTTAAATTATTTTCTATTGGTCTTGATCGCTCTTTGTTAAAGACATACACTAATACGTGACTAGCAGTTACATGCTTTGCATGTTATTAAAAATCTCAATATAAATTCTCACCTATCAAAATGAAAATTTTATGCCAACATCACTGAGAAGCTTTTAACTGTTATCAGATCTAAAAGATGTTGCTTCAACCCTGACCTCTTAACTGCAAGGAATAATGTGATTAAGGAACACTTGAGGTTTACCTTCCAGCAGCAAGAGTACATTAGATAAGCATGCTACACTCAGGTTCAATCTGAAATTGAAATTACCTAATTGTATCTAAAAAAATTCCTCACAACCTCCAAAAGGAGTGTTGGGGATTTAGATATCCAGCTATTTTCCAGCTGAAGTCCACTTGGGCTGTACAAATTACTTAAAAAAATGCAGTCCTCCATGAAATCCAAAGATGAAGCCGTGTAGAAAAAGACCAAATTGGCAAAGTGGTGATATATATTCCCACAGAGCCAATTGATAAATGGCATTGTTCCACAGAAATGGAAAATATTCCCCAACTTTCTGTATAACATTTAACGTGTGCACTTGAAGACGTGGCCAGCTGGCATCACCTTGCTCTCAGTACGTCGCATCTGTCGCACCAGAGCTATGAAAAATGTTATTACCAGCAGCCCAGATTTAGTGTGTTTTGCTCTTACAACTCACTGGTTATCCTTGCACAGCACACAATACTGCCATTAAATAAAATACCTAAAAGCAATTCTACTCTAGATAAACAGTGAGCTTGCTTTATATTAGAAGTGATAAATGTTTAAAATCTGCCCAGCAAGAGAGCAGGATTGGATATGTTGCAAGAGTCTCTAAGGGAAAAGTTTCTTTCTGTTCCTAGTGATAAAAATATTCCAGCCTTTTGGCCAGCAGAGAAAACAAAGTATTAGTCACTTTTTTTCTTTTATACTTTTTTTTTTTTTTTTTAAAGCCAGATGGGAACTGAAGGGAATTCAGCATAGAGAAGACAATGAGAACAACGAGAGAGAATATAAGTAATAAACCAGACTGAGATTGTCTCAGGAAAGAATCAGATGAAATGTAGGTAATACAGTGGGTTTTACCTGAGATAGCTCCCAAAATAGGCGACTATGTTGCAGTGTTTGCATTCTTTAACCATATATATTTCTTGCTGTATCAATGAAAAGTCATCTCCTGAAAAACAGGAAACAATCACGGTTACATCACACAAAGCTGAACTTTGAAAGAGACCTCAAACATGTACGAGGCTCGTAAAAACAAGCCAGGGGCTTGGATAAGTGCAGCAGCCCCTTCATGGCTCCCAGGCCCACCCAGCTCCACCAGACACGGTGTCTGCAGCACGAGGGTCCCAAACACAGACTGAAATACTGCAGCAATGTAACTCCAGAGTCCCCCGGCTGAAACCGAGAGAAAACAGGCACCGTAGGCTCGCCATTAAAACTCTTTCATTTCAAAATGCCTCTGAGGCAGCATACGGCCTGCACGCCCACTCGGCCACCGCTGACTCAGAAGAGAAGCACAGAGCCCGCACCACCGGCTGCCTCGTTGTGAGAGCAGTTTTTGATTAGGACAGCTACATAAGCACATTTACACATTCTACACAGCCTTTGCACAAAGAGCCCTGTGCTTAAAAACACATTAGGGACAGCACAATAGCCTAGCATGTTCCTAACACGTTAATTTAAAAGGGTAAAAGCTTAAAAGCTATCATAAACTCAAAAAGATGTAATTGTATAGCTGCAATGAAGGCAAGAAAAATACGGAGCCCTAGGAAAAACACTGGTGTATGTTTATTTAATCCCACGGGCAGAATTTCCACACAGGATCCAGAGCTCAGAGGTGGCAGCTCCCCGGGCCCTATGGCTCAGGGCAGGCTGAGGGCCGTGTCCATGGCCTGGCCCCAGAGGCTCTCCCTCCCTGTGAGCAGAGCTTCCCTGCCATCCCATAATGTAATGGCATAATGTCTGCACTGGCTGACAGCCTGGCAGCCTGCCTCTGAGGAACAAGCACCTCAGGAACCGGCCGACCGGGCCCTCACAGGCGTCTGCCCGCCTCGTGGTCACGCACACGGGTGTTATTACCTTTGTTCTTCCTTTGGCATGAACAAGACGCCTGTAGCAGCTTGCAGGACACGAAAGACTGCAATTTAGATAAAGGTCTTGGGTTTTAGAGAAAGTGCTGCTTCCGAAAAGGTGGCAACCACCATGTCCTCTCACAACAAAAAAAAAGAGCTTTGTATATTTATTTTCATTTCAAGTTTTATTAGAGAAATCTGTCTGCTAATATCAAGGCAGGGATGTGGAAGCAGAAGTACAGCCCTATAACGCTGCCCTTAATTTACGTGATTTTGACAAGTCCAAGAGGTCTCAAGTACTGCTATAAATTCTGTTTGGATCCCCGGTGTGTTTATTCAAGAAGTAACAGCGCGGCTAATAGTCTTAATAACCTCTTTAAAAATCAATGTTTTTATGGGCTGTGCTTCAAGCAACTTCACCGAGCAATGGAGTCACCAAGGAGACCACACCGGAGGGTCTTTAGGCCGGATTTTCCACCCATGCTGGACAGACCCACGGCCAGCCAGGACTGACGGCCTGCCCCATGGCACTGAAGATCATGGTGCAAATCGTGGCTCTCTACTTACAGACATTCACCTTGTGTAGAGACGTTTACAGATAGAGTGAAAGAAGTGCCCGTTCACTTCAATTATTTTCAAGTGATCGCAACCTTTAGGATTTTTACGTAAGAAAATAGCCACGAAACACAAAGGTAGAGAGGGAGGAACACATTTGTACAAACACAACCCTGGCTAACTTCAGTAAATCCTCAAGGGCTTCTTGAAGTTGAGTTGTGTGGAGAAAGACTTCACCAGGGAAGGAAAATATTAGTAGAGGAGTTTAAGACAGACTCTTGACATTTGAAACATGAGCAGTTATTTTTTGGGAATAATGAAAAAAGGAAAAGGCAACACAAACTAGGCAATCAAATTCAGCACAGGCTTCACACTGTGCTTTATGGTTACCTTTCAACTATAGCTTTGCTTGAACTCAAGCACCCTGCCTATAAACAACTGCTATGAACAAAGGGTTGAGTTTGATCCAGGTGGACTAATCCCTTCTATTTCTGTGACGAATTTCCACAAGGAAACTGGTAAATACTCACAGGTAACTCACTGGAGCATTTTAAAATTAAAGAAGTTTTTCAAGAAAGTCAAACGTGAGCAAGAGTGAAAGCAAAAAAACTCCCACCTCACACCAAAGAAGGAACCACCTTTCTCTAATACTGCCAGCTGTCCATGAGTTCACAGAATTGAATCCCTAATCTTCGAAGCAAAGGATCTTTGGTATGTAAGAAGCAGCATTTCAGAATATCTAAACACTGCCTCATGAACTTCATGATCAAGAAGCATTCCTGAAACAGCAAAAAACCTGTAGGTAGCATCTTGACTTGCCCTTCGATAGCACTGTCTAGTGTGGAGCAACAAGAACTGTAACTAATAGGGGAGAAAATGAAGGAAACATGGTGATTTTGTACTAGAAAGACTGATGGTAGATGAGATAACAACCTTCATGCACATAAAAGACATCTGTGGAAAAATAAAAACAACAGGAATAATCTATTCTGTTGTTCTAAGATAGGACAATTAGAAAGGGGCTCAAATTGCCTTAACCTTCAACCCTTGTACATATGAAAAGCTTCTCCCACCAAAGTGGCGATGAAGCACTGAACTCAATGCATGGAAAGCCAAGAAATTTCCCACTAGTGGAAAAAAAAATACAAAACCACCAAAGAAGTACCCATCAGGAGTGACTCAGGCTGATCCTACCTTTCAAAAGAGGAGATGAACACAGAAAAGGTAACTTCCATGCAATTAAATAAATGGAGAACCTATTAAAAAAATGGAGTAACCTACAAAAAAAGGGAATAAAAGAGGGATTTGGAAAAAGGTGCATGGGCTGAATGTGAGCACAGGGCTGACAGAACAGCAACAAACAGACGGAAGAAAGAAGAGACGTATCCACGAGAAAAGTCTGGCAAAATACGTAAAAAAAGATTCTGAAAGATCAGACTCAAAGATAGGAGAGAAGATGTATAGTGCTTCAAAGATGACAAAAATGAATTCAAAACAATGGAATTCAGACTTTCCAGGCAGCTGGAGTATTAATCTTGGCAAGAGATGCTAGAATTGGGCAAAAATTAAATATCCTTGGATAGCATGAAAATAAAAAAGACAGTAAGACGAATTTGTAGAAAATACTTAATCAAGACGGAGACAGCAAGATAAGAACAGTTAGATCAAAGGTGACAATATATCCATGCAAAGAGATTTTCATCTGGTTTAGTCATCAGAGATCACTTGATGCTAAATAACATGGAATTGGAAAAATGTCCTTTTTGTCTACTCACATGTTTGCAATTATGGGCTATGTGGCATGCTGAGCAAAAACGTAGTTTAGGGAGCTGCTGTAAATCACCCCAGCAGCGTGGTGACTCACTACAGCGCGCTACTATTATGTAATTTTACCTCTCTAATGAGACATGCAGGACACAATGGAGGGTTACAATGGAATATTCTCCCCTGATCAGGGTCCGTGGTCGAGGCTGCTCAGCTCGGCACAATGAGCCGCTTGTCCGCCAGCACAGCTGGTGGGGAGAACGACTACTTCAACTTGCAGCCCCATCCTCTCGTGTTGCAAGCAGATCAATTTCAGAAGCTTAACAAAGTAAAGATTAGTAAATTCGCGAGAAATCTGTATTTAAGCAAGAGGTCACTGACAAAACTGATGGTCCACTGACACTTGTGAATTACTCCGTTTGCAGACACCATTTCTCACCTGGTGCAGGATTTCCTGCCAAGTTCCCTTAAATGTGCAGCCCGGGTTCACATGCCCCACTCTACTGCCTTTCATGCAGCACTGTTAAGTCCTCTGAGCACGCCTGACCTTGGTGGTTTGTAAGCAAGTTTGTTCCTGGTCTTATTTTCATGGGCTCCACTGACTGCTTTGAGTGGGCCCATCCTGCAAAAAAGACCCAGGGTCACCCCTCACATCTCCTCCTGGGTCAGCTGAGATCCACTTTATTGTCCAGGAGGCTCCTCAGGGGAGAATTTCAGAGCTATTGTTGTAAATTGGTTTCTTCAGCATTACTTCAGAGCTGCAGCACAGGGCTGATGCCGAGCAGAACAGAGGGAGGGACAGGCAGGCAGCGCCCAGGCAACTGGGAGGAGAGAACTGACGGCATTTGGAGATGCTGACGGTGTCGTGGAGGGTGGGACAGCAGTGATTACGGAGAGACAGAGCAGACCTCTGTGGTACCAGCCTGCTGGGCAGTACAGTATGCTCCTGGCCACCCAAATGTGCTTGACAGGCACGCCAGGCTGCCTGGCAGGAGGTGTGATGGGTGCTCACAAGCTGGCTCCAGCAGCCTCCCCTGGAGGCTTCACTGTACATACCTGGGACTTCCATCACAATATTTTAATTAGACAAAGCGGGATGCCATTAGGAACGAGACAAGGTGAACACCACCGTTAGCAGAAGCAGCTACTGCTGCAGCTGGGACCGTGTCTCATTTTTATTATTATTATTATTAATAATAATAATAATAATCATTATTATTATCATTATTATTTTTTTATTTTTTATTTCAACAACCTGGGTGCCAGAACCAGGCCAGAAAGCACCATGGGAATCACTACTTCGCAGAAACCATTCGTCCCAATAGACAAACCTCACAGCCAAGCTGCCATCGGGCACTACTTAAAGCTCATTTGCTTCTCTGTGCTGATTTCCACATATCCCTGTGCCACCCAGCTCTCAGTCACTCCAAACCACTTCTCTGAACTTAGTAAAGGTTCAATCTCCGCTGACGAAAGAGGTGGCATCCCCAATATACAGGTTTTTCTTAACACTGGAATTTGTTGCCTGTCTTTTCCCTCCAGCCTAATTAAGTTTAGCTTCTGAAACATTTTCCATTTCCCATTTCTATAGCCTGACACAAAGTATGACTGAACTACAGCCCCAAAATATTCTGGGGGAGGTGGAGAGACGCAAGGCATTAGTGTAGCATCCCATCCTATAGCTCTGGCACACACAGAAGTCCTGCTTTCTTCCCTGCCTTGCAGACCTGCATTGCTCTTTACCAACCATTTTGAAAACTGTGAACAATCCTTTTAAAGT